TTCACAATAGGCAGCCTGTCGGCCGCGAAGGAGAGACATGAACCAAGTGACCCAATTGGGATTCACATTCTGTCAGAAAGATCACACTGCAGCTGGCAGTGGGTGTGAATGGACGCAGGCAAGGGGGCGGGCGGCGACGCTGTTCACATCCGAGCGTGGGCAAATTAGAGTGGGCAAGCCGGGGCGAGGCGGGGCTGTGGGAAAAATGACGAAGCTGTGTGCACTACCGCAGCTCAACAGAGGCCACACGAAGTAGTTGCCCATGCGCCAGGACCAGCTCACGACAGAGTCTGACGATAGTAACCACATCACACGAAGAGGGGAACACAATCAGCAGAGAATGCACCCCAACAAGCTGTTCTACCTGACGCTGATACCACAACAAGGAAACGCCTCTTCTTATTAATACCATCATCATCATCATCATCATCATCATCATCATTAATAGCAGCAGTAGCATTGTTAGAAGCAGTGGGCAACATTGCAATCGCATCATCAACCTTCGAAAGAGTGACTTCTCCGGTCCTTCGCCCCCCCAGGCCTCATTAGCACACACTCTTTGTATCCGACTCGACCTCTTTAGACAACATGTTAGTCGTATACGATTATGTGGCATGCATACAAACCGTCTATTAACGCATCCTCCGAGAGTTGGCGATTACGCACGTCCTCTAATTTAGCAGTGATTAGACTCAAACAGCACTTTGCTTTGCCGGCCGCCCTTTGCCATCACTACCCACTCGGTTGCCGCACAGACACGAACTGGAAATCATAGCCGATCCAAAAGTAGATGTAGTCATCTGATTATGAAAAGTGGTTTCACATATACTCGGGCTAGATTTGTGCTTTTAGTATCTATGCCTTGAGGTCGCAATCGTAGACTTCAAGTAATATAACGGCATTCCCGAGTGGCAACAAACGTAAAGATCCGTCAGCTGTAGGGAAGAAGGACGAGAATTGCATAATTAGTCTGCTCATTGCCTAAACTAGCGTTTGTTTTAACCATTCTATTTGCAAAATAGCGAAAAATATTTACAAAAGCCTATACTACTTAACAATTTGTCAATAGTAGCAATAGTCGAAGACCGCACAAAAACACCATTAATGGATTGTGCAATTTTTTCCACAATAACATGAGTAACCCTGACGCTTCCGAAATGGTCACATTCACGCCATCCTCGGGAATCGAACCCAATTAGCCCCGACACGTTGCCACGTTACACACCAAACTGACACGACTGCGTCCGAGTCACAGAGTAGATGTGAATTTCAAGGGAACTCAGGTCTCTTTCATGTCACAGCTATAGAAATATGTGAAATATTCACCCTTTTCCCACACTTTGCCACACTTCCATTGATACACCTTGGGTTTCCTTTGGATTTCACATGGTCTTGCTTCCCATTTTAAACAAATATGTAACTAAGTTACTTATATTCATTCGTGCAGCCCTAATTACTC